GAAGAACACTCGAAGTCAACATAGCAGCAAAAACTGATATTTACAAAGATGTGGTAGAATCACAGCATCCAAATTTAAATCCGTTTGTCGGACAAATAAGGAATCACCATCTCTGTCCTTAATTAAGTCTATTTGTTATCCAACAAAAGTAATATTTTCTACAAAAGCCACCACTTGGGGTTTAGAACATGAACATGTAGCTGTAGAAAAATATAGAAAAAACATGGAAGAAAGTCACGACTCATTTATTGTAAATGAAGTTGGACTAATTATTAATCAAAAATGGCCACAACTGGGGGCATCACCTGATAGGCTTGTTTTTTGTGAATGTTGTTTGAGAGGTTGTTTGGAAATTAAATGTCCATATTTGTTACATGAAAATAATGTTGACGATATAAGTGATTACGCAAAATGTAAAAATTCATGTTTAGTTTTCAAAGATGGTATCTATATCTTAGACAAAAATCATTCATATTATTATCAAGTGCAAATGCAAAGTTTATAACAAATGTTTCTTATTGTGACTTTGTCATTTGGTCTCCAAAAATTTTTTTTAAAGAACGCATTCACCCAGATTTTGATTTTTGGAATAAAAATAGTGAGATAGCTCTAAAATTTCATTTTGACATAATAATGCCAGAGCTTTTAGGTAAATATTTTACAGAAAGGGAAGGTTTGGCTAAAGTAAGTTACTGGTGTAAATGTAAAGGCGTGGATGATGGTACACCAATGATAAGGTGCGAAAATGATAACTGTTTTACCGAATGGTTCCATTTCAAATGTGTTAATTTATCAGACACTCCCAGCACAGTATGGTTTTGTCATGAGTGTCAAAAAGCCACAGAATAAAAAGTTTGTTAATATTTTTTAGTTTATTAATATTTGACTTTGTACAAATTACTTTTCCATTGTAGAAATGTGTGTTGGCAGAATTAAAATAGTTGTAAATTTTATAGTTTTTTATTTTTTTATATAAATGGAAATATTTACATTAAATNGACTGGAAGATGTAGTGCATCTTCATCGACCTCGCCTCCAGGGTTTTCAGGTCCTCGTCTCCGATTCCGAAGACGAGTAGGTGGCCTCGTGGGTCATTCTTAGCCTCGTGGTGGAACAGGCACCACCTGCTCACACTCACCGTGGGGTTCTGAGCCGCCAGGCGACGCATCACCACCTCCTTTTCCTCATGGTCGCATCCAGCTTCCACGGGAATCCAGAGGGTGGCTTTGGTCAGCCTTGGCAACTGGTCAGAGCGCACCACGGCTAGGGCACTGCCCTCCCACGGGTTCAGGCTTCCCACTGCATCCGTCAACCACGTCCGTGTGTACTCGTCCTCGCAGACAACCCTGATGATCTCACCAGAGTATGTCCACGAGCGAAACACAGGTGGTCTAATGGTAGCTTCGGGAATTAGAAGAATTTTATCCAGCTCCACCAGCAGTAATTTTTTGATAATGGACTCCCTATCCTTGGGAATTTTCCCATAGGGATTGTCCTTATCAATAATTGCAACCCTAAGATGACCTAGGGCTGCATCGCTATATGTGGAAGTGGTGGGGGGGGGCTGTTTTGCCCTCTTGTACCTCATCGGAGTGGTGTCCGATGAGGTCCCCGACCTGTTCCTCTTTTTATGGGGTGGCACTCCGTGAGGATGCTCTCCCTTCCTATCTGGTGGATTCGCCTGGGAAGGTGGCACACCTTTCGGGTGCTCAACCTTCCCTATAGGCGGTCCACTTTTGCCTGGGTGGCGTTCGTCCCGCGTAGAGGGTGGCAGGCCCTTAGATCCGCCAACCGCCCGTGCAGGACCACGCACCCCAGACGTTGTAGGCTGTGCCAGAAGAGTGGGTGCGCGTTCAGACGAGGGAGCTGCAATTGCAGCTCTAGCCGCCTCTTCACGCGCTCTCCGCCTCCTCTTGAACTCAGCCCCATAGATACGTCTGCCCCTTCTTTTCTTTTCGGGCTCTTTGTTGTCTCCCATTTGAGGGATTTGGGACGATGGTCCCGGCTGTGGCGAGCGTTGCCGCTCTGCCTCATGTTGGGGTAGCAGCGAGCGTTGCCGCTCTGCCGCTATTGATGGCAGCGAGCGTTGCCGCTCAGCCGCGGGGGGTTTGGCGTTATTATTATCCATGTAGGATTGTCGTAGAATTCGTCCACCTGGCTCCCCACCCACCACGGAACCCAACTAAGGGATGCTGCAAGCAGTCACCAGGGCTACCAAGTGGATATAGCTTCCGAAAGCAGAACAGCGAGAACAGCGTCGAGAGAGGGTTGTGCATCCCTGAACGCCGGAGCCAACCGACGCTCAGTTTTGCAGCCCTCTACGCGCCCCCCTGCCCCAAGAGCTCACCCTGCGGCCCTCTGACGGGACAGCACGGCCGATTGACCGGGAGTGGGTTAGTTCCCGGCCGCCCGTCTAGTCGAATTCCGGACCGAAGTGGCGTGTTGCAGGCACGGCCTGCTCAACCACCAGGTACCCTTCCTCCGACGACACGGGTCGCCACGCACGGCACAAACACGTGGGAGCTGGTCCGCGGGGTGCCTTCGCTGGGTGGACCTGTTTATGACGACCCTCGCCATAGAACCGAGGTCCTATGGCTTCCCCTATCCGCCACCCGGGGACGCGCCTGGTAGGTAGCTCAACCCTCAGGATCCCACCTGTTACAAACATGGATATTGTGTCTTATTTAGTCTTGACGCATAGTTTTTATACAAAAGACCAAATGAAAGCTTTCAAAAGCCTTCAAGCTTACAAATATTTTAATTCTGGATTTGTGTTGAAAGTCGGAACCAAAGTTGTTAACAATTTTTATGTGCTGGTTGGAAAGGTAAATAACTTTACATAATTTCATATTCGAGCTTATGTTTAGGGTTGTAATAAAGTAATGTGAATGGTTATTTTAAAAGTTTCTGTGGTCAAAAGCTAAGTACTGGGTATAGATATGCACACAAATATGAATGAAGCAAGTGAGGGCTAGGCCGAATGTCTACCTTGTTCGTTACTTTACAGGACGTTGCAAATGAGGGTGCAGAGAGTAGCAGTAGGTGAGCAGTGTTGTGTATCGATCGATATCACAATTTTATTGGTGTCCCCTCGTCTATACAAACTTAGTCCGTACCAAATATTACTTGCCTATTATAATAACTATTATTATAACTATTTAATTCTGCATGCAGTCATAAGCTGAAGCAGTTTATCATGTCTTGGAATTACGTGGCCATATGAGTGCCGCTTATCTCATTTAGATTTGTATGCATATCTTCAACTTAATGCAGTATTAACTTTATTAACATAACACAATAAGGCCATTTTATTTAAAATCTCACTTGTGCAACAAGGAAACATCTGGTCATACTATCACATCTTTTATCATTATATACCTTATAAAACTGGGGAAAAAACAGACAAATATATTAGTTATTTGTTTGTTGGTAGTGTGTAATGTAATCTAAAAGGACAATTTTTTTTGCAGGTAAAGCATTCGCAGAAAGCAAATGTGAAACCCCTAGAAGTATGGTGCATTGTAGCAATGGATGGAGCAGTAGCTACTGCTCACTGTACATGCATGGCAGGTAATAGTGAAGTTTGTAGCCATGTTGCCGCTGTACTATTCGCAGCTGAATATGCAAATCAAAAAAAGGCTTCAATTTCGTGTACTGATGTTGCTGCTTCATGGCCTATGCCATCATTGTCTACAGTGGTGCCTATTGTTCCGGTACATGAAATGAATTTTGGAAAACCCTCTACTGTAGCTGTTAAAAAAAAATTCCAGTTTGTACGATGGCAAAAAAGGACATAGTTGAATTACTTTCAAAAATTGACAACACAGGGAAAAGTGCAAGTTTAATGAGAATTGTTGAGCCATTTGCAAGTAAAATATCTACCTCTATGAAGAAATTACTTCCATCCACATTTGATATATTTAAAGATATATATTTATCCAAAACTTATAAAGAATTAATCCAAATTGCCAGTACGATTGAGTTAAGTATAAGTAAGGAACATTGCTCAGAGGTAGAGAAGAACACTCGAAGTCAACATAGCAGCAAAAACTGGTATTTACAAAGATGTGGTAGAATCACAGCGTCCAAATTTAAATCCGTTTGTCGGACAAATAAGGAATCACCATCTCTGTCCTTAATTAAGTCTATTTGTTATCCAACAAAAGTAATATTTTCTACAAAAGCCACCACTAGGGGTTTAGAACATGAACATGTAGCTGTAGAAAAATATAGAAAAAACAGGGAAGAAAGTCACGACTCATTTATTGTAAATGAAGTTGGACTAATTATTAATCAAAAATGGCCACAACTGGGGGCATCACCTGATAGGCTTGTTTTTTGTGAATGTTGTTTGGGAGGTTGTTTGGAAATTAAATGTCCATATTTGTTACATGAAAATAATGTTGACGATATAAGTGATTACGCAAAGTTTAAAAATTCATGTTTAGTTTTCAAAGATGGTATCTATATCTTAGACAGAAATCATTCATATTATTATCAAGTGCAAATGCAAAGTTTATAACAAATGTTTCTTATTGTGACTTTGTCATTTGGTCTCCAAAAATTTTTTTTAAAAAACGCATTCACCCAGATTTTGATTTTTGGAATAAAAATAGTGAGATAGCTCGAAAATTTCATTTTGACATAATAATGCCAGAGCTTTTAGGTAAATATTTTACAGAAAGGGAAGGTTTGGCTAAAGTAAGTTATTGGTGTAAATGTAAAGGCGTGGATGATGGTACACCAATGATAAGGTGCGAAAATGATAACTGTTTTACCGAATGGTTCCATTTTAAATGTGTTAATTTATCAGACACTCCCAGCACAGTATGGTTTTGTGATGAGTGTCAAAAAGCCACAGAATAAAAAGTTTGTTAATATTTTTTAGTTTATTAATATTTGACTTTGTACAAATTACTTTTCCATTGTAGAAATGTGTGTTGGCAGAATTAAAATAGTTGTAAATTTTATAGTTTTTTATTTTTTTATATAAATGGAAATATTTACATTAAATGAGAGAAATCACAATATCTGGAGGGAGTTAAAAGTATTCAATATATGTTTTTAGTCATTTTATTTGTGAATTTATCTTATATACCCTTTTTTATATTGTTATTTCTCTCCTTAAAAATTAAAGTGGTATAATTGGATTTAATAAATTGATTAATGCACTGCAAGTAGTAACGATTTTATCTAAGATATTAGCGTTTTCATTGTTACATTTTTTTAACATACTAATTGGAATTGGACCCTTCCATATTCTAAATTTGTTCTTTATAACTCCAATTATTCTCTCCACATGAATTCTGACATGAGCTATGTGGCGTGTCTCTTCTATTTCTATGGGATGTAGTTGACTTTTCCCTTTCGTAAATGCAGGAATTACTAATTTTGTCCCCAAAACACCCGAACTTTCATCAACTAAAAAACCCCTATCGGCTAACACAACATCGCATGGTTTAATGTAGTTACAAAAATCACTTAACTCTATCATTTGTTTGTCCGAAGTTCGGCCACCCCAAGCCTTGCCAATATAGCTTATTGTTCCCTGAGGTGTGATTCCAATTAAGAACTTTACTGTATGATGGTGTTTATAATTTGACCAGCATTGTTGTTGTGTTAGATATGCTTCTGGTTTTTCAATAAAAACCTCAAAACAGTCAACAATTATGTTCGTCGTTTCTTTAAATGCTTCCTGGAAACATGATGGGATGTTTTTTCTACATACAGAGCGGTCTGGCCAAATAATTAAGGATTTGAACCTTTCATAAAGTATTTCAATCATATTTACGAAATAGGTTGATGATGTCGTTGGTGAAATTTTAAAACGGTAAGCCAAATCTTTGAAGTGTAAATTTAACCGTAACTTAACTAGGGTAAGTAATAATTGATTAAAAGGACTAAGCACTGTTGTAGATGTTGTAGGAATGTATGGTTCAATTTCGTGAAAAATATGTTGAACAAGTGTATATTCAAATCCTGTATAATACTTCCATTTTGCAACATCGGTAGTTTGATCCACAAGTCCAAGAGGAGAATTTTCTATCTTGCGTTCTAAAATAGATATTTTTTCTGAGGCGAATTCTAACTGCTGAAATCTTATGGCCATCATTTCCTTTGTTAGGTCTGTCTGTGTAGCAGAACCATCAGCTTGTTCCTTTGCATTCTCAAATTCCGGACTACCTTCCTAATAAAATAAATATTAAACTGATAAAATATACAGTAATAGATATATTTACAATGCCACCAATATGTTTTATGAGTATACCTAATAGAATTTAAGAAACATTTTAAATTGGCTAATATAAGGATATTAATTAATGTAACGTTGGCATTATAATGAAAAATACATAAATTAAGGAATTGGAATGTATTAATATCATTGTAAAAATTCTTAATAGTACCTAACAAATTTTTCTTGATTTTTAAAAAGTATAATTATTTACCTCGGCACAAATTTCCATTCTATTTTCGCTTATACTTTCTAGTAATTTTCTTCTTTTATCTACTCTGTATTTTCTTGTTATGTCGCTTTTCCTCTTAGATATAGCTTGGGAAACATGTCCCATGTGCTGAGATGGAGCCCAGTCTGGATTATCAACATCTTCTAACTTGCTTGGTTTCCCTAAAAATTGATTTTGCTTAATATAGGGGTTTAATTATAACATACCTACTTCTAATTATTTCTTGTTTCTTCTTTTTGTTACATAAAAGAATAAAATTCTTACCAGTAATAAAATGCCTACTGCAAACTCTCTGGTTTCTTAATATAGAAGGTGTTAGGTCATCCCTTTTAATTGCAGCTATCCATGTTTGGCGCCGTTTTCTCGATAAATCATTTAAATGAGGAAAATATTTTGAATTCCCTACGTTGGGTACACAATGAAAGCTAACTTGGTCCCGATTTCCACGACTTCCACAACCCACTACTATGCACGTTACCGGCATTAGTAATACATATCGTTGCGACACAATTTAATAAAAGACGAGTTGAACACTTCCTTAAATAACATACAGTAATAATTCCTTACAAAAAACTCGGATTAAACTCTTTTAACTAAAAACTTCTGGACTGACTTCAATGCATTCTCAATGTAAACATAACTTGTTTGCCATCACCGCCATATTGCTTAAAAATTTGACAGGTCGTTGGATTGCCTAATTGAACCTAAAGAATCATAACCAAACTCTACAGAACCAAAAGGTACACCGAACAAAATAATTGAGACACCCATGGACTAAATAAATTATGGAATTTAGAAAGAAGGAAACAGTAAATTGAGCGCTAAATTTTGAAAAATAATTTCTATAAGCTAGATTCACTAACGTCATTAATAGATGAATTATTATTATTAATACTTAACAAATATGTGAACATGATACTTAAGTTATCAATGTCAGAACGTCTATTCATAGTGTTCTCACATTGAAAGATGCTGCACATCTCAAGGAAATTTCTTTTAAAAACATTATTTTCTGTAAATTTTATACTTACTTCGTTAAAATCAATATCATGTTTACAACTATTTGTATGGTT